TAATCCACACAGAAGGAATGTATGTTCAGTTTCTCCCGATGAATAGTCATGCAGATTGTTTTTGATGACTAGGCCCCAGGACCTTGCCTCCCTTTACGTTTGCTGTGATGTGTAGGCGCCATTGGTGATTGGTGGAGCTGCTTTAATATATTCACCAGAACCCAGTTAGTTATCCGTCAATGATAACTGAAACCTGTCCGTTCCATGTGTTTATTTTTCTGCTGTTTGTTCTGATGTCTGTCATGTGACGTCGTGTTTTCCGGTTATGGATACGGTTCGGTGTCACGTCAGCTAATAGGCTGAGGGATGTGTCATTGTATACTGCAGAGGGAAGATGGTGCCACCCAACTGAACCTTGTATCTGATTACAGTCCAGTCCGGTAGGACATGAGATAAATGGTGAGCTCACCATAGGCGGTCACATGACTTCTACTCCTTGCTTATAACTGGTGTCTGATATCTGCTGATCTGCACTCCGTGTTGTCATCGCCCCCTCCAGTTCTGTGCATACCGTCATGCGGTGAAAAATCGGCATTGTAGTGAAATTGAAGACCAGCAGCATGTCGTCATGAAAGTCATACACTGAAATCATCATTAATAATGTAGCGCTCACCTCCGGGGGAGCCGCCGGAATACCCCGGGTCATCACTCATTGTCTATGGGTTTTATTATTCAGCTGCCCCGTTAGCATGAACCACCCTCTTCTAGTGCCCACAGAGATGATCTCCACTCCAGAAGTAGAGTGCTGAAGAACTTTTATTGAACGTATTCACACTGGGAGAGAGCGTATAGAGATCCTAGACGTCCAGGGTGGTTCAGACTCCAGACTCACCAGTACCTTTTTTAGTAATTCAGTGTAGATCCGTTTGCTGCGCAGCGAATAGATATGAGCAGGGATGAGCACAAATCTTCAGCAGGATAGACACCAGACTTGTTCCTGAGGTCCACTATGTTTCGGGCACCTCCAGCAGCCATCAGCTTTCCTGGTTCTTCTCTGACAACCGCAAAGGCCTCCCCCCAGACTTGAGGCCTATTGAAACACTTGCCACACTCAAGCATCCCTACCCTCAGGCCTAGGGGGCAGGCTGGGCAACACCCTAACCTGGACTAATCCATGGCTGGAGCCAGACTAGAACTGAGCACATGGCAATTCCCTCCCGTATATAAGTACTTACCCAGCATGCAACACTGATTGCGAGTACCCCAGTGATTGGCTGGTGAACTGCACACCCACTCAGTGTCCCTCATTGGCTGTCCCACACTGCAGCAGAGGCACAATCCAGCCCAGGAGTGTACAATCTATGTCAGACACCGGGAATTAACCAGATACATTTCAAATTTGGTGTTGGGATACTTGAAGAGAAGAGTTTGTTGGGTGTTGCCAGGGCCATCCTTAACGTGGGGCAAAAGGGGCAGTGGGCCTGGGCCCAGTCATTGTTGTAGGGCCCAAAGAAGCTGCCCCTAGATCTAGCAAAAGATGCACATGCGGTACCTTTTTCTGTTTACTTATGCGAACAGCATCGATTTGTGTTGCTCCACCCCTACGGTATGCCGAGTGGAGTATGCGGGGTCACGTCTCATTCGGGGGAGGGGGGGG